TAAACCCTAAACCCTAAACCCTAAACCCTAAACCCTTGAGGAGAGAATGAAGATGCAGGGTCAGGTCCTAGATAGACAGCCCAAAAACCCTAAACCCTAACTCGTACCAATGAGGCTTTGCTGCAAACCCTAAACCCTAAACCCTAAACCCTAAACCCTAGAAGCAGACTCACTGGTTGATGGTGCTGCGTGACATCTGCTGCTGTCTCTATATATCCATCTGGTGATGCAGCAGCAGCAGCAGCAGCAGCTGCTGCTGCTGCTGCTGCTCGCTTGCTAGGCGGGATGTAGGCTGCTGCTCCTGCTGCAACAGCAGCACGGGCGTACTCCTGCAGCAGCAGCAGCAGCAGAAGCAGCAAAAGCAGCAGCAGCAGCAGCAGCAAAAGCAGCAGCAGCAAGATACAGAGGATATAAAACGCAACGCATCAACAGCAGCAACAGCAGCAGCGGTAGCAGCGAGACCAGCAGCAGCAGCAGCAACAGCAGCAGCAGCAGCAGCAACAGCAGCAGCAGCAGCAGCAGCAACAGCAGCAACAGCAGCAGCAGCAGCAGCTAACCGCCCCGATATTCAGCAGCTCATCGGCGGGGATGTCTTCGTTTGCCGCATCAAAAGGAAACACCTCCCTGCACACAAACCCTAAACCCTAAACCCTAAACCCTAAACCCTCAACTCTAAACCCTAGATTAACACGAGAGATTTCGCGGGCTAAAAGGGTTTAGGGTTTGCTGCTGATCGCTTTGCGCTTGCTCCTGCGGGTTTAGGGTTTAGGGTTTGCGTCTGAGGGTTTAGGGTTTGCGTCTGAGGGTTTAGGGTTTAGGGTTTGCGTCTGAGGGTTTAGGGTTTAGGGTTTACCCAAGGAGTTTAGGGGGGAGGAGCTGCAGCAGCAGCGAACCCCTAAAACACCTTTCTTGTATTTCGGTTGACGATAAACACTTTTGCTGCTGCTGCAGCAGCTGCAGCACGAGACCATCAACTGCTGCTGCTGCTGCTGCTGCTCCTCCTGCTGCTGCTGCTGCAGCAGCATTAACAGCTGAAAGCTTCACGAGGGCCCAAACCACCCAACTACGCGTGCATGCGTTTTTGCTTCTGTATAAAACACAAGGGTTTAGGGTTTAGGGTTTAGGGTTTATAAATTAGGGTTTAGGGTTTAAGGATTTGAGGGTTTATAAATTAGGGTTTAGGGTTTTGAGGGTTTAGGGTTTATAAATTAGGGTTTAGGGTTTTGAGGGTTTAGGGTTTGAGCCCCGTAACCCAGCGTTATGCAGCTCTAACAACGACCTCACCACCTCTAGGGTTTAGGGTTTACAGATTAGGGTTTAGGGTTTACAAACGAGGGTTTAGGGTTTAGGGTTTAGGGTTTACCTGCGCCAAGCCTCTCTCAACAACCCCAAAATATCTCGCTGTGTAAACCCTTCTACCGAGCATAGAGAGCCGTATTCTCCTAGAACCCAGCTAGCAACCTAAACACAAACCCTAAACCCTAAACCCTAAACCCTAAACCCTAATTTG